CAACGTGGGCTCCCGCGTGAATCTGCTAGAGATGGTTCATATGTCTGTTGAAATTAGATACCTAACAGCAATCTCAAGCAAGGGTGAAAATCATAGAAAGGTTGTCGCGCTTGAACTTGCTTTTTAAAGTTTTTCTTCAAGTGGTAATCGCATAAACTGTGGTGCGCTTCTGAGTATGCATTTTGGATTGCTTTCTTAATGCTGAGATGCTGCTAAGAAATGAACATAGTGTTTTTAGGACAACCAACCGCATTACGCAACTTGCTAAGAAACCACGTCCATGAGTCTTCTTCCTCAACATGGCCAATGCCAAACGTAACTGGATATATATACTTGTTCGCATCTTTGTATACAGTGACAAACAGAACACCTTGGAACCTACCTTTCAAATGTGTTGCATCAATTGCAACCCTAAGACGCATTACATCCCTAAACCCCAGAATACAAGCCTCATATGACCAGAAACAATATTTGAATCTTTTTGCCTCATCAGTAGCCACTGTAGTGATTGTGCCGAGGTTTTCTTATTCCAACATATAAAAATAAGAGGGTAATAGTTGAAATGACTCCTCCAGGGGACCGAAAACAAGCCTTTTCGCATACTCCTTCACTTGCCAAGCCTTACCATACAATCATTCCAATCCCTATTGAACCCTCATATCACCAATTTTGTCCCTAAGTCTTAATGGTACTCCACTAACATGAAGCTTGTGCGACATAAGTTCACCAATTATCTTCGCACTCGCTGTGGGGAATCACCCATTCAAACCATCGACAGTGCACATGTGTACTTTGTGGAACGTCCAAACTTGTCAATATTCTCCTTCAAGTAACTTCGTTGCACGCACACCAAACTTGCATGCTTTGTCCTTGCAACCAACCTCATAACGACTTTTACATGACCTTTTTACTCTTATCCTAAAATGCTCTTTGAGAGTGAATAAGTTCAAAGCTCGTTTCAACTCAGCCTTTGAGGAAAGCATTTTTCCTTTGTATAAGCGATCATCAGCACATCTCAACTCCTAAGTGGTAATTGTTTGGAAGGAAAACGTTTATGCACCTAGAATTACCCACGTACGACATATCCTTGCATTTCTCGTATCTTGATAACTGTCATTCAGCAATGTATTAGGGGAATGAATTCTGTTTTCACTAACGATGGGGTTATTGTATATAGGGTCATCACACCGAACATCTCATAGATCAACACGTCTAACAGGTTTCGTTTCGCCTTCAACATTATTGCAAATCGGAATGTCACTGTCATAAAGTCAGTCATCGTCTGAACTGTCATTAGGCCTATCATCTGAATTGTCATCAAATCTATCTTCACCGGCAGGGAACAAATCCTCATTTCCCTCATCAAATGTAGTATTATCCTCGATTGTCTTAATGTCACCCTCCAACATTGCAGTGTTATTCTCAAGTGTGGTATTCTCATTTGAAAATGCCATTACACCCTCTACAGTTTCACCC